CCCACCCACAATATTATTTTGTTTATTTATGTTAAACGTTGCATCAACATGCCACACCTAGTCACAAGCTGCACTCTATTAATTGACCTTAAATTTAATTACAAGACAATTTTCTGTTGTTTACTTTTTTGCAATGTTTGTTGCTTAAGCACGCAAAGTAATTGAATTTTGCTGTTTACAGTGATTGACGTTGAATAATGGAATTAAATTTACTTTGTAGAGTTATAAATTGGATTTTGAGGATGAAAAAATTGTGGTAAATGGATTAATTTGCATCTAGTTGTAATTTTCAGTCAGCTTAGGTTTGAAATACAAAGTTGGTAACCTTGATCAAGGGCGGATTCAAGGAGTTTAATTCCCTTTTACAACTTAGGGTTTGGGAAGTTCTGTATCAGTTTCAAAGGCTTTCCTGGTTATCCTGAACTTGATTACTATCCATAAGTGTGAAAAATCACCTAAAACTCAATTCACGAGCAACTTCAATCCATGTAGCACCTCTGCCTACCCTCCTTTCACTTGAAATTGCAATTAAATTAAATTTCACATAAAAAACTTTTCTCAACAATAAAAGATAATGAAAAGAATGTTTAAAAACTTCCAGCATAATAAATTCTAAAGATTCATAGAGAAGCGGAAATATATTTCAATTAATCCTCTTAATTTAGCTTATAATCCGCTTTTATTCTCTTAATAATAATAAAATAGCAAACCTTCAACCCCTGTGACTGCTTCCATTCCATTTAAAAATGTCATCAAGCTGGAAAATTGCTCACTATTTTTATCATAAAGCTATCACGATTTCTAAAGAAAAATACAGCTCACAATGTTTCTTTCATATCTCATATTTATCTCACTACTTTTTTATATGCACGACATCTTTCCACACATCAGTCAGCATGCTTTAAGTTTAGAATGTGGCAGAACCTTTTGACATTTGAGTTGGCATGTGAAAGTGCGAGACGTAAAGTGTTATTTTTTTAATAGAACAATTTAGCTGTTGCTACTTCCACTGCCGTAAACATACAAAATAGCTTTTGATGAAAAAAAAAGTATCTCAGGTGTAAAGTTGGATGCAAAGCGACAAGAAATATGAAAATGTCATCGTACATAAATTTAAGTGAAACAATAAAGATGAATGCAACAAGCACGACACCCTTTAAAAATGCTAAAACGTTTTTTCTTTGTGAAATAAGAGTGGAAAATAATAACATAAATGCAACTTCAATTGAGATAAATTGTGAGCTTTATTGTTTGAAATAATACTTCTGTGCTTCTTTAGCTTCTTATGTGCTTAAGAAAACTATTTGGATTTTAATAGAGTTGTATATGTGTGAGCAAGCAGTTTGTCTGGATGAAGTAACGGGCCGTTCACTTATGACGTCCGACATTTAGGGGGGAGGGGGGTCTAGGATTTTGTGACAGTTCAAACAATGGAAATTTTTTCTATAGAATTTTTGTGACAGGGGGGGAGGAGGGGGGGGGGGTCTAAAAATCAGGTGTTTTGATGGACGTCATAAGTGAACGACCCCTAATGGGTTTAGTGATTTTTTTTGAAGAGTGTTTCTGAGGTTACTTTTAGGTATGTTGGAGTAGGTGGGAAGAATAGAGAGTTCTGATATACTTTATTATTATTATTATTTATTTATTACTTAAACTTTAGGAACTGGAACTTAGAATTCTTATTTTATGATAGACTTTACTTCCAAAGAACTCATTATTTTGCATTTATTTACTCCAAAAGACACAAAAAATTGCACCAAAAAATAAAGCCAATATCCATGACAATCCAAAAAGAAAAATTTCAAGTCTAGACAAAACCTTTAAAGCCAAACCCAAAACTTCTTAAAGCCAGAAAAAAACGATCAATTCTCAAAAAAAATTGACCTAGTCGTCGAGATAAAAATGCACATCATTCAGTCTCCAATAATGATTCGCATGCTTGTTCATCCTCCTCACAATATTATAATCCAAAGAGCATAAGACGATGTAATGTCTCAACATAGGAACTGAAATCTCCTCATATCTCTTATCATTAATCTTTCTCGTATGTTTTATCTTCTTCTTGATTCAGTCTCTGTCGCTTATTTTATGTCATACATATTTTATCCAATATCTAGATCTTTAAATGGTGAATAAGTGAATGCATGTGCTTACATATTCCTCACAAATCATTATAGAAACAAAAATATGCACGAAAATCACTTCATAAATCTAACAAACAAGTTCATGCAGACATGACTTGGTGATAAATAATTTAATGTAAAATAATTATGTTATGATAATGCAGGGATTTGACATTTCACAGTCTCTGCTTATTCGGATGATGATATTATTAATTAATTGTTTCTAATTCATATAACATAAACTTCAATTTAGCATCCGCAATTCGTACTACGAAGCAATAAATTTTCTGTGCCTTCTCACACTCCACTTCATCATTCTCGTCATCATCATCATATTTTTCTCTCTATTTTTATGAGCCATAATATTATCAATATGAATCAAACAATGAGAAATGTGTAGGTCCGTAAATTTGTTTTATGGTTTTAGCGCATTTATTGGATTAGCAGATGGCTTTTTGTTGGTTACGAGTGTATTTGCTTTCAAGGATTTTTTTGAGAATTTTGGTTTGAAAACCACATGACGACATTATTAATATTAGGGAGCTAGGTTAGGATATATCATGGAAGGGTATTGAAAGGTGAAAGATGCCTCTTGAATAAGTCCAACTTGCTTGGAATTCGGAATAAAATGCCTAACCTAAAGCGAGGCTCTTGAGATTGCACCAAGGCTGCGGAACTTATCATAATGATCAAAACTGATCAAAAAATGATCAGAAATTACCAAAATCAAATTTATCACTTCCGCACCCTTGAATTTCGCTTAACGGCCCTTAGCCTTTTAGATTCTCAGACCTGAGGCTGCCTTCTAAGTCTATTTTGGGCACTCACCCGAGTAGCACAAGTCGGATAATCGAGATGAAATCCTACGCTAGGACGACGTGGTTATGATCTAAGGGCGAATTTCTCGTCACGACGAAAAATTTGCCCTAAAGTCGCCGTGATATCTTCCTTGCGTAGGATTTCGTCTCGAATATCCGACTTGTGCTCTCCGGGTCAGCCTCAAAATCAAAAATTATAATAGAGGACATCATTATGAAGTATAAAATAATTATTAGTATGACTAAGGTAGGTACTAGAAGATAGCACTAGAACCCAGGACTCAAAATATAAGTTTCCAACTTGAAATTTTTTTAATTAAAAGATTTGATGCTCCCAAATAAATCAAACCCTCCAGCCACCCAGCCATTCCACAGTCAACAACATCCAAAAAAATTCTTGTAAATTCATCAGTAAATGAATAAATTGCGTTCGAATGATATTAGAGAAGAAAATCGATAAGATATTATGATGTTCGATGTCGATTGTTATTATGTGTTACGCGGCAGATAAATCAGAGAGATGTAAGAGGAGGAGATGAACGTTTATTTGCTCTATGCTGTGTGTGGAGGAGAGAATAATGAAATGAGAAAAAGGAAAAAAAATATATTGAAGAAAAGAGTCCATTAATTTCACATTTTATGGCATTTAATCTATTGGCAATAAATATGAATGACTTGCTTCTTTTGTGGTAACAATAGTAGCGAGGTGTTTTGCCTGTTTGTTCATTTCTCCTTTTTCTATTCTTTTATTACAAAGAAATAATATTTTTTTGCCATTCTTTTCTAATCGTGTGTATTATTCGAAGGGGATAACAATGTGATGGGAAAATGCTTTGATGAAAAATTCCTATAACAACAGCTGAATCTTAATTTGAAATTGGGACCAAATTTTTATTTTGATATTTTAATCTCCACAGTTCTCATCATGTTGTTCTCCCCTTGACTATTGTAGGAAAACAAGAAAAATCGGTATCTGATTTTTTTGAATTACAATGGAAACAGAAAAAACAAAAGTGAGAAAAGGAAGTTTTTTAAGTTTCCGTAATCCCTGTCAAGCTTGAAATGAATGAGAATGAAATAATTGTGTGCGAGCTTCATAAATTATACTTCCACTTAGTTTGTTGTTCTGTGTAGTTTTCATGATTTTTTGTGATTTTAACATTTTGCCTTTTCTATTTTGTAGGAGTTGAGGAAAAATTTATTAAAAAGCTATCATTAAGTTTTCATTTAATTTGTACTTTTTTTGACGATTAAAATGTCTTGTTTGGGTTTGTAACGGGTTTCGATTTAATTATTAAACTAGTTGGGCTGAATGAGCCATACTGAGTTTTATGGCTGGACTATGACTTACTAAAGTTTCTCGCAATTATACTAAAGCTCTTATTATTCAATATTATTGATTGCAGCCCAGGTTGCAGCCACAAAATTCCTCAACAAGCTCTGCTTCCAATATTTTCAATATCCTCTCAAATTACTGCACTCTTGCCTCAATTACTCATATTTTGTATTTTTTACTACATGGCGCTCGTGTTTGATTTGTTTATTATCATTTCAAATCTGCTAGTTAGTAAAAATCAACCTACTGAAGATCATCTTCTTTAAACAAAAATCTGCCACTCCTACACCTCATAATACTTTAATTTTCTCCTCCGATTGAGATGAATAATCTCTCTATTTATTTATTTCAAGCTTGTGAATCACGTTCATTTTTCATTCATTTTTGAAATGAGTAAATAATCCTACATCTTGCATGCATTCAATGATGTGAGAAATAATTCGACTTTATTTATCAAGTGGTCATAAATGTTAGGAATATGGTGTGTATGAGTAATGATTCCACTCAATATATGACAGAGGAAGGCATAGGGCACAGAATATGACTATTATGTACATTATTGGTCAATCGCATAACTGACTTTAACCATAAGATAATAAAGCACGCACATATGAAATGAAAAAAAAGGAAAATAATTCAGACACGCATCCTCAATTAATTTAATGATTCGAAACAAAAATAATAATTTTTTTCTCTCTTTTTCTGATTTGTTATTATTAATAGATTGTGAGCTAGAAGAGTTGGAGGCGCCCCAACGGTATCGTCCAGATTCACTAGCACAGATTTGCAAAACGACTCGATTCAGTGAGCCAGAAATCAAACGAATGTATCGTGGATTCAAAAGCCATTGTCCAAACGGAATGGTTAAAGAGGACACATTTAAAATCATTTACGCGCAATTTTTTCCTCAGGGAGGTATGTATGAATTATTTATGACATTAATGACGGTAATGCGGCTACTGTATTTAAATTTGCATATAAATGCGATTCTATGAGCGAGAGAGACGTGAATAGGAGAGACAAAATGTTTTTCTAGATGAATAGGTATTGAACAAGGGGATGGCAGGTATTGTGGCTATCAATGCTAGTCACTGATTAAGACGCAGTTTGTAGTTTTCTTTTATTATTCAAAAATTACCGCTCTTAAAAAATTCAACTGTCACCAAAATCCAAATTAATCAGCCAATCTCTTTAACATCCACCTATATTCCCTAAAATCTGCATCAAAAATCCAAGCAAAGCATGAATGAAGCGGAAAGATACTTTTTTATCCCAAGCTTGAAAATCATTAAAACTTTTCCTATCAGGACCCGATGAATCATTTGCAAATTGGAGCTTGTTAAATTCATGACTCGAGGATTTTGACATTCGAGCATAAAAATGGCATGAACAGAACCGAGAGAAATAGAGATGAGCATAATAAAATAAGAAGAGGAAAACGGAAAAAAGAGCGGACAGTTCGCATGAAATGCTTAACGTAATTTTTGTTTTATTCTTATTATCCCTTTTTGTTTATTAAATTGTCCAATTGCGAGAGGAAAGAGAAACGTATTTCTCGGATCACAATGCTGCAATGTAGTCTCGGTTGAGCTAGGGGAACTGAAATGGGAAAGAGAGTTTGATGAGAACTGTTGTAAGTACGGTGGAGGGTGTGGAGTAAGATTTATGAGGGTTTGGTGATTTTAAAGATTTTTTCAACACAATTCCTAAGGATTTTATTTTTGGATACATCCACGAGTTCCAAAACAGTTGGGTCCTGATTTTTATGCAAATTTATCCCAAAGTTTCTGATCAAATCCCTTAAAATCCCTCCAAAAATTCATATCCAAGCTTTAAATATCCTTCTAGAATTCAAAACAACCACCATGAATCCCTATCACAAAACAGCAATAAAGAAAAAAAAACATTTTTGTCTTGTTCCAAAAGAACTTTATTTCTACTCATGCTGTATAATTCGACAGTCATAAAGTGTACATACACTTCAATTCCTGTCGATAAACTTTTCTCGTATTTTTACCGTATGTGTATGTATTTATTTTATTTTATCAAATCTATATTAATTTCTATTCATTAGTAGAGATAGAAGAAAAAGTTTTGAAAGTATTATTAGCATTATCAGGAAGATGTAGGAGTGAACCTTTCCAGGGGCGTAGCCAGAAAATTTTTAAGGGGGGGCCCATTTTCGAAAATAAAAAACCGTTATTTTGTGATTTCTATTTTAATTAAGATCTGCTGGTTTGGCAAATCGATTAAAAATCATCGAATGTCTCTTGGATTCCGATTCTAGGCTAAGGCACTAACCTGTCACATCCTTAGATTCATAATCAGAAGGAGAACTGCATTTTAAACTTTGTTCTATGCGACAATACTTAGCCCCAAACTTGAAAAGTTTGAGAACCAATCTATAATATAAAAACCCTATTCCCTCCCTGACTCTAGAACGGAAGCCGTGTGAAGCCATTTGTATGGCTCACATATCAGGTATGAAATAAGATAGGTCCGAGTTTGAGGGGGTTTGTGGTAATCAAATTTCATGTGAAGTTTTGTGTTAATCAAATTTAAACCTTTATAACGGGCGCTCCTGAATAGCCAGATTTACTAGATTAAATTAAGAATTATTTAATTTTCACCCATAGAATATGTACATTATTGATATATTCAGTCACGTTTGCATGTTCGGTACTTAATTTCGAATCATAATATTAACTTGGATAAGCCTAATCCTTTAATCAAGTTTCCACTCTCCTGTCAAATTAGTTTCTCATATGAATTACAGTAAAACGAAAAACTTTTTTGATACGATAGGAAAAAGTTGCTGCAAAAGTCATAGAAACAAACTTTAAGCTCAGACAACGATTATATTAATTAAATGGGATCAACCGCATTTGAAAGTTTTGTACAAATTTTCGTAATTACCAATTAAGCTTTCATTTGCATTAGACTGCTTAATTTTCCGTGAAATTTAAGTGAACAAAAAGAGGATTTAAGACAATTTTCATGTCTATATGATAGGAAGCAGAGGTTCACATGGAAATGATTTAATGAGCTGCGTGTGTTGCTAAAAATAAAAAATGATAGAAAATAAATCTTGTAATAAAATATATTATGTATAATATACAATGTTAAATGGCCCAAGAATGGCATACAAAAAAACTATGATCTTATGATTTTATGAGGACGGAATGATGTAGAAGTTTAATTATGGAGGAAAGAGAGAGAATCGTTAATTTTTCTGTCATCTGACATACATATAAGGACGACGATGAAGATTGTGAATCAACCATTAACATTATTAGATGCTTCCTATGTAGACATAAATGAAAGAAGAATTTGAGTTATGTAAAAAGATGAAAAACTCATTTGTGAACACTAAATTGTTTCTTGGGTCTCTTTTTACACACGAGCAAAAAATTTATTTCCATGTTTAGATTGTTTTTGACTGCTTTTTTTCTCCTCTTGCTCTATGCTGTACTCAGTGGTGTAGGAAGGGGGGTCAATGTATTCCAAGGCGTGGAAACTATCCCAAATATCTCATTTCTCCCAAATATCCCAAAAATATCCAAAATAATCTCTGAGCCTGCATGCATTAAAATTGAGATATCCCATCGAATCCCAAGATTAAATGTCGAAAACACTAAGGATTCGTTAGGATATCTTTATTATCGTACATACAGGCTCAAGGGTTATTTTGGATATTTTTGGGATATTCGGAAATGGAATATTTGGGATAAATGGAATATTTGGGATAGTTTCCACGCCTTGATATATTCAAGCTGCTGCATATAATTGGGAACAAAAAATTCTACCCCCCTTCTTGAATCTAGTTACGCACCTGATCGTATTTGCCCAAAAAAGGCAACCTCCCCAAAGAAAATTTGAAATTTTTGAAGTCACATAAAGTTGTTGGTGTAGATTTAAATTCACTGATAGACTGGGTCGTCTTGGTTCTTCTTCTATCGTTGAATGTAATTTGAATAGAAATAACCGTTTTCGTTTTCTTTATTGTAAGTGATATTGGTGTCATACGAAGAGCTAGAATTGGTGCTGAGTATTCATTTTATGAGAATGCAATTCAATTATGATGTCTTTTATTTAAAAAGAATTGAAATTGATGGTGAAGTCGAATAAAAAAGTCTTAAATAATTATCAAAATTTGAACCACCCCCCCCCCCCCCCCCCCTCCCTCTAAAAATCCAAAAGAACCCAGAAACCCTAAAAACCCAGAAAATCCAGAAATACAATCTTTTAATCTTTTAAATCATAAAACCAGCTTAATATGAATGTCCACAGCCCATGAACACTGATCTTTATAACTCATTCCATTTCATTTAATTCTTCTATGCTTATCATTTCGTCCCACAGTGGCCGTTTTCCTTTTCCTTTCTCAAATGAAAAATTGTAAGCTTTTTACTTTTTACATAAAAAAAAAGATAATTAAATGCTTCTGTCGCGTGCTTCGTTAAATTTCCTTCTTCTCCATCTTTACAAAATGGGCTTCAGTTCTCAAGTAATTTACATTTTTGACGAACGTGATCGCGATGTAAATGAAAAATCACAAGAATTAGTTCAAATAATGTAATTATGTGCATAATTAATTGATAATTTTTATCATTAAATGTTCTCAAATCATGCTTAACTGCACATTGGAACTGAGACATTAGAAAATTTGTATGATATTCTCTGTGCCTTTTAAATGATTCATGAAACTCGTCTTTCGGCATTTTCTTCTTAATTCTTACTCAATACCTTTTTGCCTTTTTTTAACGTGAACGTAAATATTTCCTTAGTTTTATGGCTCAATGGGCTTTTAGTCATGAGTTTGCTGTTTATAAAGGAAATTCAGTAAGGGATTGTTCACTTATGACATCCGAAATTAACGGTCATTTTTCATAAAATTACAATGGATTTCCAGGAATTTCTATTGTTCTTTTCTTGCTGATCTTCCCCCCCCCCCCCCCCCCCTCCTGGACGTCATAATTGAACGGCCCCTAAGAAAATTGCCTTTTCACGAAAAAAATATATGAATGGATGAGTTTAATGCACTTTAGAAGGTTAAGAAGTTGAATTATTAGATTTTTGGTGATTATCAACGGTACTTCACAGAAGTGCGAGGTTGAATTGGTTATGAACGGTGTGATGATTGCTTAAGTAAATTTTTGAGGCTCAAATATTTATTATTTGATTTAATTAAGGTGGTTTTTGAGGTGGTTGATCTTTTTTTGGATGATTTGGATTTGTGTGATTTTAGGACATAATTTCTGGTGATTTGATTCGTTTGAAGTTGATCTAAGATTTTTAGGAATTATTTTTGGGGGTCGTTCACTTATGACGTCCGAAATTAACGGTCATTTTTAAAAAAATAACAATGGATTTCCTGGAATTTCTATTGTTTCTTGCTCCTCTACTCCCCCTCCCTCTCCCCCTACCCTCTTGAACATCATAAGTGAACGGCCCCTTATTGAAAACCCTAATTTTTTATACGGCCATTCCAGGCTTAGTACTTTTATATCAAATTTTGCATATTTTTATGTGGCGCACAATCATTCCAGGCTTGCGTATCGATTAAAGCCTTTTCTAACCCCGGTATTACGGGACTGCATCCCGGGATGAAAAACTCTAATCACAGCCTACCTAAGAAATTATGCCAATTTTTTCACTACCTCAAATTATTGACAAAAAGTTCTTTTTTAACACCCGAAAAAAAAAAAACAGAATCGTAAAAACTTGATAGCGCAATCGTTTTGATTATGCTTAGTCAAACTTTAATTTGCAGTAATTGAAAACTTTTTTATCCGAGATTTTATTTCGCCTCAAAACCAGTAAAAAAGTCTCTAAAATATTCATTTGAAACATGAATTTTTAATACCGACTTAAACCATCCCTATAAAGTTCTTTAACATTAATAAGAAAAACTTTTTGTTCTCCTCGTTCTCTAAAAATATAAAGTAATGAGAATGGAGCTTAACAGTGATTTTATTTATTATTCATTTACAGCAAATACGGGACTATATGCTCATTACATTTTCAATACCCTTGATAAGGATCATACAGGAACATTAAGTTTTGAGGTGAGTTTTTTTTGCAATTCAAATTAAATTAATCATTTGAATTTTTTTTATTTAAATGTTGTAAATGGCAAAACCATTGCATGATCAATGCTGTGGATTATATTTTTTTTTTATTGATTCAATTTTCATGAAATCAGAAACTCGAGTGATAACTTTTTTTTATTGCATCACGTTTATTGGTGTGGAGCTAATTATTTCATACCCATTGAGTATGTCAGACTATTTTATGTGTAGAAGTTCTTATAAATTCTATCCTCATTTTGTGGACATAATAAAATATCCATTTGGATATGAATCATATGATAGTTTTCTTATGGGTTATATGTTGCGGGTCAAAATGAAACATTTCGGTATGTGATTTGAGTATTAAACTTTTAATGTATAGCTGTGATGACCAATCCATGTTCCACGGCACACTCGTCTGCCATAAAAAAATTCAGAAAATTCCACGAACCGAATGCCGTTTGCGGTTTCGGTTATGAATAACTACCAAGATGTGCCATGCCACAAAAAAGGTTTGGCACCACTGATGCATAGGATAAATATCAAACTGCTGGATTTTTATGATTTAAGCGACTTTAACAACTGAATTGCATTAGATCTAATTTTTTGGCAATAAAATAAAGGATTAGATGATTTTGACATCAAAGATTATTATAAAATAAATCTAGAGAACCTTGAGTGGCCACGAGACCTCATAAATCAATTGTCAAACAAACCCCTTCCACCACCTCGTTGCCACGGCACTGACAACAATTTTTTTAATTTTCCTTCTCATTTCCTAATCTTGTCACCTTGTCAACGCATAAAGTATCTATAATTTATGACTTATAATATTAAACATTTTTAAATGTCATGACACAAAAATCAACTGATTAAAATTTACTGCGAATTTTGTGTCAAATCATTCTTCTTCTTTTCATCAACGTGTTTTTCATGTCGCGAATTATTAAAAGAAGCTTAAATTAGACACATCTGCCATTTACAAACATTTAAGCAACTTAAAAAAAATTAAAGCTTTCACCTTCGAGGCATGCGACATCAGCCAGGAGTGAAAAGTAAATAAGCAAAGTGTTTATGTAACCCGAATTGTTGACAATAGAATTCCAGTTGAAAATTTTATCCAGCTACCGAATAGAATACACAGCATTGGAGTCATTTGCAAATTACGTCATACTTTAAAGTTCAAATCAGGGTTGCGATACAGGCGCATGTGCACAGGTGAGAACCGTACAATTCCTAGATAATTTGTGAGGTTTTATTACAATTTGTATGGTTTTCTTACAAAAACCTTATAAATTATCAAGGAATTGTACGGTTCTTACCTGTGCATAGGTTTTCTGGTTCAAATGATGCCAAGCTGATGATTATCAATAGTGGCGCCAGATTAATTCCAGTTTCCAATCTAGACATAGATAAACATTGAAAAGCATAAAAGTGATAAAAATTAAGACGTCATAACCGAACAACCCCCAAACGACATTTATTTAACTCAGGAAATAGGCACAACAGTGACATCAGTAAAATATTCAAATATTTCCGCTCGAAAAGACAAAGAGTTGCTGATTCACTGCAATGTCACCTGCCTAATGTAGATTGGTTTAGCAAAAATATTCGACTAGCATTTAAATTCGCACGCAGGAAAAAGGTGAAAGGCTTTCGGTTTTTGTGGATGGCAGAAGAAGGAATGAAAACCCATCTGAGATAGTTGATGACCGTAAAATTGTGCGGGAATGAGGAATGGATTTTCAGGGCAAATGCGAGATACGATGAGAAAATTACGTGCCTTGCCTTTTATTCAAATTGAGGAAAAAAAGGAATTTCAGCGAAAAAAAAGTATTGAAAAGCAATTTACACAGTGCAAAATAATTTTTACCATAAACCCTTCAACATTTTTCCAGACATGAACATCACCAAAAAGAATGAGCGGGGGTGAAATAAATTGGGGATTGTTTCTAAATGACGTCCATCCAATATATATTATTTTCAGACCCCCCACGTACCTTGTTTTGTCACATAAAATTATGGCCTAGAACAGTGCTGTCCAAACTGTGTGACGCGGCACATTTAAATGCCGCATAATTTTTTTGCGCGTACGACTTGTATCATGATATACCCTTAAAGTGTCTCGTTGCTCAAAAAGGTTGACCAACACTGGTCTAGAAGAAGGTTAGACATCATTTACGAACGACCCCAAACTGGATCGTTAAAAATAATAAGGGAAAAATATTGAAATAATAAATGAATTTCGTATTATACAGACTTTTCGACATTAAAACAGTAAGCTGCTTTCCAGGGGCGTAGCCAGAAAATTTTTAAGGGGGGGGGGGGGGGGGGCATTTTCGAAAATTAAAAAAACCGTTATTTTGTATCCTTAAATCTATATTCATTCTTCATAAGTTTAAATATTTAATTCATTATTCATACATTAAATTTGATTTTTCGTGCTGATTTTGACATTTCTTTCATCACTTCCTTTAATTAATTGTGCTAAACAGAAAGGAGCCGTGATTTATTTTTAATTCCGTTTACTGTTTTGTTTTTATTCCCTTTTTTAAAAATTAAATGTCTTTCATAATTTTACAAACTTAATTAAGTTGTGCCAGGTGAAAGATTTCACGATGCTGACTATTCTTTTGGTATGGACTGGAACGGGGTTGTTTTGAGGAAAATTAATTATGAATTTCTTTTGAATTTTATGCTTTCATTGTTGTTTAAAAATGGCTTGTAGGAGGTGTGTAACTCCATCTCATACCTAAAATCACTCTGTAGAATGTGGATGTCCTACAACAATAACTATAAATTTCCACCCATCATCAGAAAGATTAATGCATCTATTCATGTACATCAAACTCATAATTATAAAGCACTCAGCAACAATGTCTCTTTTTTTAACCCATTGACAATAAATTTAATTATACCTACGATTGCACATTATTCTATCGATGCTTAGTCTCCAATTAGACGTATTCATCGTATGCAATATTTCATATTTAATATCGTGTAAATGACTAGAATAAATGTCGCAATAACGAAGAATTAGAATGGTCAGCACGTACTGCATCTAGAATTAAAACAATCATGTGCCAATATGCATTGATTATATAGGAATGATAATGATGATCATACGTTGCTCTACACCATTTTTATCCTTTTCTCTTTTTGTGCTTTTTTTGCGCATTATTTGAGTGCCAGACATTTATTTATTATAATATTTTGCTAACGGATTTTTTGAAATTTGAATATTGTATGTTGTTGTATGTAAATGACAAAATTTAAATTTAAAAAACGGTGTGAATATAAAAAACCGTTAAAATTTAAACTTATTAAAACCGTTATAAGGAATGCTTGCAATGTTGCCTCCCAATGCCATTCTGCTAAACTAACCACCTCCTCATCACCTATGCGTGTTAAAGCTTATGCATTAGTCACATACATCCACAAAGTAAGAGAATACAATCATAAAGTTTTATTCAAATTGTCACTGCTAATGCTTTTATAGCCACAAGTAATCATGAATTTCTATCCAAGAATGTAAGACTACTGTCCCTGAGCATCCTCTTGGTCGTCTCTTCACTCATTTTCCATTTACATTACTGCACAAGGAGAAATTCATCTCAATGTATGACATAATAAAGTAAAAGCACAATTTCGCTTTAAGAGTAAAAAGTACGGAAAGATGATTTTTTATGTGAAATGAGGAAAAAGAAATGACGATGCAAAAAAAGACAAGTACTAACGGTAATAGCAGCAACAAAAAGCTTTTAAAGTCATCAAAATTGTATTTTGTATACAATCTTTACGTGCTTACTGTAATGTTGTGAGTTTTCAGTGCTTGATGTGCTTTTTTTGTTGCAAGAGTTTAGGGGCTGTTCACTTATTACGTAACGCGAAAAAATGACTTCATAGACCCTCCCCCCCCCTCGTAACAAAATTTGTATGAAAAAAAAATTTCCTTGTTTGAACCGTAACAAAATCTTAGACCCCCCCTCCCCCTAAAAGCGTTACGTAATAAGTGAATGGCCCCTTAGAGAATTATTGAGGAACGTTTTTGAAATTTGATATTTTAGCATATAGACGTGATTGTGTGGATAGATTTTTCGAGAAGTTGACGTCATGAGGTTTAGAAGCAATTGAATGAGTTTTGGCGCTAAAATAGCTTGTTTTTGGAGTTCAATGGCTTGAAGTTGACGTTAGTGACTTGAAGTTGGCGTTAGTGAGAGAGCTTCACAACATTTCAAGAGTCACAACGTCTGCTATTACCACATAGCTAATAGATTAAATTCATTCAACAGTTCCACTTTAATTCTTCCATTTTATGCCAATTTCTCAATGTTTACAACAATGTGAATATTTTTCATTTTTATTGCCTATCTGGCAAAAAAGAAAGAATTTAATGACTTTCCTTTGCCTATTACAAAGCACACATAATATTAAGATATGGCAGATGCCGTTAAATTTCTATGTGGGTGGAAGATAATGATGAATTCCAAAGCTATTATAAATTTTGCTGAATGACTAACCAAATGAATGAGGTTTTATTGGCTCAGAATTTTTTGCACTTTATAGGCATTTTTTGGGGATAAATTGAAGCTACTGTGGACATTTAATGCGGAACAAAATTCTCAATAAGCTTAAGTTTTAATCTGCGGATTTGTAAAACTCAATTGAAAATTACATGGCATATATATATTAATAGCACTTTCCATTGAATGGCTTCTATTATTTGGTTTGAAAATTGATGGGTAGATGACTGAACGATGGGCGTATAGCATATGGATTGTGATACATAAATTATCATACAGTTATTTATTTTGCAAAAAAGTTGAATTTCAAAGAGTTTTTCAAATTTAACGACATTTTTAAAAATAATAAAGTTTAACGGCTTTTTTAAATTTAAAAGTTTATCGGCTATTTTAAATTTAAAATTTTAACGCAATTTATAAATTTAAATTTTAACTGACGTAGTTCCAGTTCTGCTACATTTTACATAACTTTCC